GGTGGTGGCGGGGGGGCTGCCAGTGGGTGCCCCTGCCCTGAGGATGCCCATCAGCCCCTCGCTCCTCGACAGCCCTATCAACCTGTGTCGGGTTTCAGTGAGGAGCACGTCTGGTCTTGGGCACATCCGGGCATTTGGCACCGCCACCTGCCCTGCCGGGTTCCCTTCTCTGTGGTCCCCTCCCGGCTTTCTGTTCCTGCACAGCTCATAGTCTGGGGTAAAACCTGCATCACCTTCCAGTTTCTTCTCTGGCATGTCTCCTTGTCTCCTCAGGTCTGACCCAGCGCAGCAAGCAGGCCCAGAAGGGGGAGCGCCGGGTGGGGGTCCCCCCGGCCCTCCACCCAACATGAGTAGTAACCGCCGGCTGCAGCAGACGCAGGCCCAGGTGGAGGAGGTAAGTCACTATGTGTGAGCCTGCCCTTTCTCTGAGCTGTTATGTAGCAGTGCCTAGAGACACTCCAAGGGTCACTCCCTTCCCCTTGCAGGTGGTAGGCGTCATATGTGTGAATGTGGACAAAGTGCTGGAGCGAGACCGGAGAGTGTCAGAGCTGGATGACCGGGCAGATGCTCTCCAGGCTGGTGCCTCACAGTTTGAAAGCAGTGCTGGAAAGCTCAAGAGGAAGTACTTCTGGAAGAACATGAAGGTGAGCCTGGCTGCCCAGCCCCTTCCTTACACCAAAGCTAAACAGTTGTCTGTCTCTGGCCTTGCATAGCTATATGCCAAGCTAGTGGAACGTCTTGCCCATTTGTCTGCCCTGAGCCATGTGTAGAGAACAGGCTGCAGTAGCACTACAAGGAGGATTAGCTGAGTTGTTTCATTCTCTTAGGAGTGCATGAATTGCATCCTTTCAGTGGTTCTCTGCCTTTTCCTTGCTCTTTGGCCTCTGCGGCACTGACCACTTCTGATAGGGACTGCCTGTCGCTCTGATTTGAATGCTGGCTGCACCAGGCACCTCCACTGTGTATTTAATTGAGATGGTAGGCTTGCATCACTGTCTCAGGCCATGCTATTTGGAAGACTGGAGGTCTGAGCTGTTGTTGAAAGGCACAAATCGGTACTCCAACACCACAGGGGACACTACCTCATGCCGACCTTATTGAGTCTTTATTGTTTCACAATCTCTCCCCAGATGATGATTATATTGGGAGTCATTTGTGCTGTTGTGGTGGTGGCTATTGCACGTAAGTACTGTGGGGGATCAGAATATAAGGTTGGGGAGCTCCTGACTAGTAAAATGGGGCCTTTTGGTTGGGGGCTGGGGCCAGGGGTGGCTAATTTTACTTTTGCTGAGGACTGCTTAATCAGTTCTGGTGAGGTGTCGGGGGCCTGGAGGGTAACTGTTCTTGAAAAGTGTCCCACACCCTGATTGCCATATTGGGACTAGAAGTCCTGCCCCTAATCCCTGACCTTTGCCACTGGAAGTCTTTCCCCTTGCCCTCAAAAAAAAAAAAAAAAAAGATTTCATTTTGAGAGGGGGAGGGTTTGCAATCTTGGACCTGGAACCCCCCCCGACAAATGTACTAAAAATCAAACATCTAGTATAATATTAATTTTATTTAAAAAGTCCTGATTTATGTATTTGTAGTGTGTATATAGAAGTGATCACATAATAGCTCAAAATAAAGTTTTACTCCTGTATAATGTGTGTGGGGTGTGGTTGAGGGGGGTGGGGGAGGGTGTGATGGGTATGCATGTGGGAGGCCCCCTCCACAGTGCACAGCTGCTGCTGGTGGTGGTGGTGGCAGCAGCAGCTGGCCCTTGGAGTGCTTATGACCCACACAAGTAGAAGGCCCTGGGTGGTGCATGTCTCTAGCCAGTTCTGGGAGCTGCCCGTACCTGTAGGGAGCAGAGAAGGCTGTTGGCTCAGTCATGATGGGACTTCCCCCTGGTGTCTCAAGTCCCGGGAGCAGCAGGGAGCCCTACACAATGTAACTGGGCTGACCTGGGCCCCATGCTCCCACCACCCTGGCCTCGGGCCCTGGCCCAGCTGCAGCTTCCTTCCACCAACCCCTGCTTCTCTACCTGTTGCCCCAGTACTGTAGGAGGGGCAGCAAGAGGAATCACTGGAGGATGGGGGAGGCTGAGCAGTTCCCTGGGCAGCTGTAGCAGCAGCCCTGCCTGAAAGCAGGGTGCTGGCTGGGGCTGGGACCCTCCTGGGCTGGAGGATGGGAGAGGAGCCCACTGTTCTGGAAATGGGTGGGGGTTCAGCCCCATGTGAAGTACAGCAGGGGGCAGCCATGGGTTTGGCTGGATACAATTAATTGGTAGACACCTGCTGGTGGGTCAAATGAAATGGCCAGGCAGGCCACATTGCCAGGCCCAGAGATACAGATGCACTAAAAAGCTTATGAAGAAACAGACTACTTCCAAACCCTGTCTTGGGAAGTAGTGTGTGGTTTTTGGTTTTGGTTTGTGTGGTTTTTGTTTTTTGTGTTTTCGTGTTTTTTTTTTTTTACCTTCTACATCAAGGAGCTACTGCGTGCGAGTGGGAGGATTGAAATGTCCAAATCCCCAGCTAAGGAAGACTTCTCATTTGATGAGAGAATGGCGACTTTGGTGTAACTGGCCCTCTTGTTCTCTCCTTTTCTTTTTCCTTCTGTTTTCTGTCTGCAGTCTACTTCTGTACTTGAATGTGGGTCCCACAGTCTGCAGCCTACCTACCCTGGTCACCCTGTCTCTCCACTGCACAAGGTCCCTCCCTCTACCTGGCTTTTACATTTATTAATTCTTTTTATTGGCTTTGTTTGTCTTCTGTATGAGGTTCTGATGCATTTCTTTTAGACCCCTTGAATAGCTGCTGCAGCACCAGGGAAGGCAGTTCTATTTGGGGAGGAAGGAAAGGGAATACTTCTCCCTCCAGCTTCTGTTGCAATGGTAATTGGAGTCACAACACACCTTCATTGTGAACTTTTTTTCTCACACCAGTGTCTTGAGGGTTGGGCTCTGGCAGCGTGAGCTTCCTTAAGCAGTGCCCTAGCAGTCATAAGCCCCAGGGACTGAAGGAGGACTCCCATTTTGACTCTTCAGCATTGATTCATCTGATAGGAGCCCATGACAATGTTTGTGGTTTTCCCTTTAACCTCTGAAATCTGGTTAACAGTGGTTGCTTAGTCTTCCACTCGAAAGCAGTAGGCTATAGGCATGTTGCTTTTCTGCAACATGGGGAATGACATGCAGGGACACCTAGCAGTGAGAGTATTTGGACTAGTATTCTTGTCAGCTGTACAGACTCAAGTGAGCACGTGAACCTGGAACTATCTACTAGCATGCAGCTTATGCTGGGGGTATAGTGGGGCAAGGTGGGGGGTGGAGCAGGAGTAGGGGTCCTGATCCTTTTTGGCTTCCTAGGGCTATATGCTTACCATGTGCTGTGGTAAGGGCAGGTCAGGGGTGTCCCAGGTGGGATTCTTAGTTTGCTTTGGAAACTGGAACAAACTTACCCTGTGTTTCTGGACCAGTCTCTGGTTGTTACTGTTTTTCTCTAAAGCCCCTTATTCTCTGCAGGAGTTGGAGAAATTCAGAGTAGAGTTTCAAGAGCAGCTTCCAAGTGCAGCTCTGCTCTGAAGAAAGTGGCATCAGATTCCCACATTCAGCAGCTCCCTGGTTCTCTGTGAATCTGCCCCCATTAACAAGTTTAAATCTTTGTGTGCCAGGGCTGCAAACTGCCCCAGTTTTTTGAGGCTAACAGTGGGCACTTGCCAGTGTTCCTGAGCTCGGGTCCCAGTTACAAGAGGGAGATGTGGGGCCTCCTTACTTGCCTATACAAGACTATACCTTAGTCTAAGTCCCACTTAGGTAGGGCTGTGTTTCCCAAGGCTGCTCTAAGTCCTTCAAGAGCAGCTGTGGACTCACTATAAAACTTGCTTTGTCCATTAAGTCTCTACTAAGGTTTGTTTGTTCTGTGGGTGACTTGTTACTTCCAGAAGACAAAAGGGTGGAGAGGGTGGAGAAAAGAGTGAAGACGTATTTTAGGCTGAAGGTAAACCCCTTCAGTTCAGGGAGCTCTAGTTGTTCAGCATAATGCTCTGAGGGTTAAGTACCAGGGCCAGGAGGGCTACTGGGGAAGCAGGGTTCAATTGATGGTCCCTCCCTATGGGAGTGAGATTGAGGAAACTGATAAGAATGAAAGCTCCTTGCTGTTCTTGGGGCATGCTGGGAAGGGTCTCCTACCCCACCCGGCTGTTGAGGAGAGGCTGGATTTTGCGTACTCGCATCCATGCACCAGCATTTCATTTGTACTGAGTCCATCTCCCTACAACTCCCCATCTTTCCCTTTGGGGAAGGGTAGTGATGAACATCTGGAGTGAAGCAGCCCCGTGGAATTGAGCTGTTGTTGATGGATGGACAGAAGTACAACTTTCATCTCTCGAACTCTCCTGGACAAGGCTTTGGCATCTCTTTCTTCTTGTTCCTCTGGTGGCTGAGGCCTCAAGATGACTGTCTCTTCCACTTTTTCTCTAGGGTGTTGTATGTTGCTTTTCTCTTCTCCTCCTTCACCCTGTTCTGTTTCTTTCTGCATGGTGGAAAAATACACACAGCCCCAGATCTCTATAAACACAACTGTAACCTTGCTTTCTGGCATGTAGAGGAACTAGCTCATGTACTCTGAACTCTGCTAACAAACGTTCCCACCACCTTACTGTGTTTGCCACCTTTATTGTCTCTGCGTAGATATGAATGGGAATAGAAGGGTGACTTTATGCTTTGCCCTTGAGTGGAAAGGCTTCTGACGGTACTCACTTTTGAAATCCTTTATGTAAAAAGAATGAGGTTTGGGGCATCTGGAAGTTGGGCACAGCCTTTTAGTAGTACAGTTCCAGTCATGCTGGGAGCATGCATCAGGTGGACAGGTCAAAGGGTAAGTGGGAATAAGGAGGTGGACTTGTAGAGTGGAAGCTTTACACTGAATACAACAGCGATTGTAAAGGGGAGGGAGCCTTGAAGAAGCAGCAGCCTTCATGAGCCAGTAGGAATTGAATGTTTAATATGCCACTGCTGCTATGGCTAAATTTTAAATTACTGTCCTGTCAGCTGTATGCTGGCAGAGGCGTGTTCCTTTCTGTTGAAAGGAAGATACAAGGACACAGTCCTTTTCTAGCAGAAAGCCATTTAGCGGTATATCCTGGCATCTTCAGTCCTTTGAGAATATTCTGAGATCTTCTCAGGCAACTTCCTCCTTCAGCTCTATAAGTCCATGTTAGTAATGTTAGCACATGTACTGAATCATTCTGCTAGTGTCCCTGCTCTGGAAATTCATAGCTCCCTTTTGTGGAGTTTGGGATATGCTTTTACAAGAAACTACCTGGGGGAAGGACTGTTCTGACGAGACTTTTTCACTAAGTTTATCTCCCTGGAGCTCCCCATCCTTCCCTTTTAAGGAAGAGAAGAGATGAAAGAGCTGGAGTGAAGTGGCCTTTGAGCCATTTCCCCACCCCCTGTTGAGCTGAGCTGTGGTGATGGATGGACAGAAGTACAGGTATCTCAAACTCTTCTGCACAAGTCTTTGTAACCTCATTCCTCTTGGTCCTCTGGTGGTTGAGGACTTGAGGCTGTCTCTTCTATTTCTTTCTCTGATATATTATATGTTGCCTAAGGCACTGAAAACCTCTTCCATAACCCTGACATGAGCTGAAGCCTGCAACCAAATGGATTCAGATGCAGCAGCTTTCCTCTAGTACAGAAGGAAGGCCAGGGAGTAAGGGTCAGAGACCAACTAGAGAAAAAGCAGCACGCAGAGCAGCCTGGATATTTAGATACCAGTGGAATACTAATGCTGGGATCTGTAGCATCCCCTGTAGCTGTTGCCCAAAAAAAAACTCCCTGAGGATGAATGTGCTACACAGCCTGGCTCCCTATGTGACCCAAGAGCCTTGCCAATAACCACCTGGGATTCCTCAGCTATGCCACTGATCTAATGTTACAGTTGATTGAATGAATATCAGCACACACAAATAGTCACGGGGTGTCCAGTAACTGTACTTAGCTTCTATTTCTATCCTCCCATGGCATGTACCTTTCCACCAGGATTCAGCTCCACTGAGCCATGCTTGAAAGATTGTTTCAAGAGCCTCAGGTAGATGAGTCTGCATGTAGCAGTTCATCTTAAGGGCACTGAGATGAGCCAAGTGGCCCGAGGAGCTCAGACCAGGATCATCCAAGATGGAAGGCAGGTCATTAGAATGAGTAGGAGTTTTGAAGTGATGGGAGCCCAAGAAGGGTGGCTGTGCCTTAAAGAAATGATCCTTCGGGCACAAAGGGAGACGATCCTGATGCGAGCGAAAGGGGCCAGGAGGCTTCCTTGGCTGACCAGAGAAATCCAGGGCAGCCTATAGGCCAAAAGGGGAGCACATAAAAAGTGGAAACAGGGAGAGATCACCAAAGAGGAGTATACCTCCTCTGCTTGTGCTTGTAGGGAGGCAGTTAGATGGGCCAAAGCTACCATGGAGCTGAGGATGGCATCCCAAGTAAAGGACAACAAAAAATTGTGCTTTAGATATATAGGGAGTAAAAGGAAGGCCCAGGGAGGATTAGGACCCCTAGTAAATGGGCAGAAGCAATTGGTGATGGACAGGGGGGACAAGGCTGAACTCCTCAACGAGTTCTTTGCCTCAGTGTTCCTAAGAGAGGGGCACGACAAGTCTCTCACTGGGGGTATAGAGAGGCAGCAGCAGGGCGCCAGACTTCCATGCGTAGACCCTGAGATGGTGCAGAGTCACTTGGAAGAACTGGATGCCTTTAAGTCGGCAGGCCCGGATGAGCTCCATCCGAGGGTACTGAAGGCACTGGCCGACATCATTGCATAGCCACTGGCGAGAATATTTGAACACTCGTGGCGCACGGGCCAAGTCCTGGAGGACTGGAAAAGGGCCAATGTGGTCCCCATCTTCAAGAGGGGGAGGAAGGAGGACCCGGGCAACTATAGGCCAGTCAGTCTCACCTCCATCCTTGGCAAAGTCTTTGAAAAAATTATCAAGGCTCACATTTG